CCAGGAGGCCACAAAAATTACAACCCCGAAGCGAATCTGTATGGGAAGGTCGTTTACGTAGCCGAAGAAAGGCCGAAAAAGAAGCAAAGAAAAGAAAAGAGTTAGAAGACCGCGCGCGAGAACTAAGAAACCAGGTGCAAGAACTAACGGAAAAGTATAACGTATCTGCTGTTTTTGATGAAAGTGAGTCAGGGTCATCGGACATGGAATCTAAGTGGTGTGCCGAACGTGGAAAAGAGGGTTGTTGTAGTAAAAATTGTTCGATGAAAAACAGCTCTATCAGGAAGGTACCCCGACCCACCAAGGCACAATTCAGCAGTGATGAAGGGGATAGCGAAAGTGAAGAAGAGCGCTGTCAATATAGGCGCCACTGGGTATTCGGAAAAAGCGAGAACAGAAAAGGGAAGGTCGTGCCGGAGTCGAAGATGATGAGGAAGGGCTATCCGAGAATCAGGATGAATTCTCCAGCCCCAGAATCTGGGTGCGACGATGATGACATACCTTCACTTGAAATAAATGGTTGTGTTAGTAAACGAAGATCCAGCATGGAAGGTCGAGTAAAAGATCTAGTCTCGAATGGTGATGAGACCGAAAGCAATAGTGAAAGTGTAGAAGAAGGTCGCCAAGTTAAACGCTTGGGCTTTTTCGGAAAAGATATGGGCACGAAAGGAAAGATCGCGCCAAAGCCGAGACCGATACAGGAGGGTTATCCGAGAATTAATTTGAAGCCCGAGCCCCGAAAGTTGAAACGTGATAATGATGACACATTCCCACTAAAAGGAACTACGAGCGCAGTTGCTGTTAAAGAGCGGATAATTGCCGCAGAAGGTCTGACCAAGGATTCGATCCCGAATGATGAAACTAATACGGTACGTGCTGATGAGATCGACCACGGAAGACGCTGTGATACGACCGATGAAAACACTCCACAAAACAAATGTCCAAGTGAAGTAGAAAAAGCGGAAAATGACGAGAGAGAGGGTGAATCAGAAGGACAGTTAGGGGTTTACAAAGAAAAAGGGAAGAGGTATGGTGATGCCGGCTCCAATGATGAAACGCGACCGAAGATCTTGGATGCCATCATACGACCCTCCCAACCGGAAGGAACGTTGATGACAACCAAGAATGATCTGAAAACGGTCAATGAAACTGAGGATGAGGATATCCCCCTCTCCGAGAATGTGTTCTGCGAAGCCAGTTTCAGCACCGATTCACACCCCATCATCCTAGACCTCGATGTACGTTTGATCCAAAGAGAAGAGCTGACGATGTCACGTGATGATGCTCGGGAAAAGATAGTTGGGGAAGAAGTCGAGAAAGTTGAATCAGACAGTGAAACTGGGAAAAAACAAAATGAGCAAATCGAAACAATGATAGCGGAAGGATTGGATATTTCAATAACAAGTAAGAAATTACCGGCGACACCAACAATGTGGAAGCATCAAGACAAGATCGATAAGATTAGAATTGATCCCGGAATAGGAAAAGAATCAGCAGGAAAGCTCCCGGAAGATAAACAAAGTACCCTTACGGACACTGTTCAAAGATCCGCGAAAATGGCGTTATGCCTGGGCAATATCAATAATACATTGGTCAAGCAGGACGCGCGCCAAAGCAAGAGGAAAACAATCGGAGACGGAACAACATCGGTAATCACTTGGAGAATACATGCGCCCGGAGATGAGACATACAAATTATGCAATATTCCTGCAGCATGGCAACTATGGAAAGAAGTGTTTCTCCGCGAATTTAAAATAAAGCTCACTAAAACGCACTCCTACGTCTTCATGAGATTAGCACACCGCACGATGATGATGATCATGAGTAAAACGGTCCAGATGAGCTGCTCCGCAAGGAAGCTGCTAACCGACAATAATGTCGGAGGGACCCTATTAAACTCTGAGTGCGATATAGTAGTGCGAAATCATGATGGTGTCTCGATGGATTGTGATGTGCAACAAATCAAGCAAGACGTACAAGAAACCATCAGCAAAAGAATGGCATCAATAACGACGAAGTGGGCATACAAGGGCACAGTTAAGCTTTGCAGCATCTTCACGTCATGGCAACATGCGATAAATGCAACAAATGTGAGAAGGATGACAACAGCTTATTCTAGCAATGTATCCGCAGCGGAGAAGTTTTATGCGACATGGACATTTAAGGCCCGATTAATCCAACTCGTACCGAACCACTCTATATTTGACATACATATTGAATACCAGGACGTTGTGGACGATACAGCCAAGAAGAAACGGATAGTCTGGGAATCTAATATGCGAACAGCTCGACCCACATTGAATGTCATCGGAGAAGCTGCGATACGTGACCACGAGGAACCAAGATCCGCTTTGCCCATCAGACCACAAGTCAAGGAGTTGATGACACCCATGGCTATTAAATATTATCCCAGAACTAAGAGGAGGTACCGGAATAGTAAACGAAGAGTTAGGAGGGTAATCACCATCGTGTCACGAAAACGAAAAGTGTATAGGACTTACCATCATCGCGTTATAACATCCATCAGAGCAAAATCCAAGTCAATTCAGCATAATTCTATTCACCAGTCATATCTACCTCGGAAACCAGAAACAGCTATAAAGAGGTGGGAGAACCGTACGTTTCGCCAGGAAATCGGATGGGGAAGTCACCTAGAGCAATCCCATAAGATTACCCGAATCTGTGGCATCACCCGAAAAGTGTATAATTCCAAGTTTAGGTGTACAAGGAGGAATAATGGAAAAGAAGGTTGTAAGAGAATGAATGCTAGTAGTCCGGCTGTGACGAAGGAAATCAAGAATGAACTGAGAACTACGATAAATGGTAAAAACAGTAACTCGGATGTCTGTACCATCTGTTCATCATGTGACATCCAACCGTCCGATACGCCACCACCATGGATAACCTGTCGAGTGCCGGAAGTGAACTGAGAATCTTTGTCGAGGACGCCAAAGATAAGCGGAGGGGAATGTTAGCCTGGGAAAAGTCACATGGTATAGTCGCGTACCATGATCGGCGCGGCGCGTACCCTGAAAATTGTAGAATAGCATTAATAATCAACATGAAAAATGTAGTCATCAAAGCTTAGATAACTTACCTGATAGTTTAATTTAGCCCTGATAGTCTATTTTCCCTTAATTGTTCTTCTTATCCTTTTTGTGAACAATAAATAGTGATGCTAATATACAAGCGAAATAATAATAAAATAGAAACAGCAATTGAAAAGAAACGATTAGTAAAATTGAGTCGCCAAAAAGGAATATTGTAATTAACAACTTATCTTTTCAAGTACGCACCAATTAAAGGAAGGATAATCGCCGCTATAGGACGTAGTCCGGAATTATCAAGAGAAGAGCCAGTGCTGGGAAAGAAGAGAAAAGCTGTTAATAACGAAGTCTCAGCTAAAATCAATCTTATACGCCTCAACTTACCTTTTATAACTCCAACTTTGGACCAGGCAAGTGACTGACTTGCTGTTTTCCGGCCCAACAATATTAATAAGTAGCAAGAACTAGAAATATAGAATAATGAGTCAATATAGTAATTTTCTTAAAGTTATAACTTTTATTTTTATAGATTTTATAATTTGTTTAACTTAGTTTAATTTTAATGTTTTAATTTTCTTTTTTATTTTTTATTTTTATTTATGTTTTTTCAAATAACTTTAAGTAGGTAGATATAGCTATTACTTAGCTATATCTAATATATTAATATTGTTTAAAATTTATTTTTAATATTAATTAGATATTGTTGGTCTCAATAGCAAGTCTGTTGCTAATCCGGACCAAAACTCGTGCGATATTGAAAGAGTAGGTCTATGTCGCTGGCAATACCAAAGGTATGTATGGTAATAATTATCCTTATCTTCCTCTTCTCTAGAT